TGTGATAGCTCACCAATTTTCATAGCTCTCCATGTCATAACTCACCAATTTCACAGCTCTCCATGTGGTAGCTCACCAATTTCTTAGCTCACTAATATTTTATTATTATTTTGAGAGCTCACCAATTTCATAGCTCTCAGCTCTCCATGTGATAAATAGCTCACCAATTTCTTAGCTCACTAATATTATATTATTTTTAGAGCTCACCAATTTCATACCTCTCCATGTGATAGCTCACCAATTTCTTAGCACTCTAATATTTTATTATTATTTTAGAGCTCACCAATTTCATAGCTCTCCATGTGATAGCTCACCAATTTCATAGCTCACTAATATTTTATTATTATTTTCTTAGCTCACCAATTTCCTGGCTCACCAATATTTTATTAATTTTTAGTTATAGCTCTCTAGGTCAGTTCTCCTAATATTTAAGTCAGCTCTCCTAATATTTTCTCAGCTCACCAATTTCACAGCTGTCCATGTCATAGCTCACCAATTTCTTAGCTCACTAATATTTCATTATTAATTTTAGAGCTCTTCATTTTTCAACTCTCAAACATTGTTCAAACTCTCAAAAATCACGGCTCCTAATATTTTTATGGCTCACGAATTTCATAGCTCCCCACAATTCTAATATTTTATTATTCGAACTCTCCAATCTTATATCCACTTTCATAACTCCTTAATATTTTATTCTAATATTTTATTACTATTCTCCAACCGTCTGCTCTATACCAAAACAATATTTTCTCCAAAATACTGCCCTGTAAATAAATAAATAAATAAATAAAATAAATAAAACTTTTCTTTTTTGACTCTACAACAGTCTCCCCCTCTTTTCGTTTTTTTTGTTTCATCACAACAAAAATATATATATATATATATATCTACTAAATAAATACATCAATACAAACACATAAATAGCTAATCTGTGGAAGATTGGAAGCATACCTCCACACGTCAATATCTAGATCACAACAGACAACTCCAAGTAGACGATTCCCAGATCGTAGCTCAGCTCCAAACGTGCCAAGTCCTTGCACAACTCACAACTGTGGCTCGCAACTCCCCAACTCACCTTCTTCGCTTCTCACCTTCTCTATCACCTGTCAATCACTGAAAATTTTGCCTCTTCCCTTCAATCGACGACAGCAACTAACCCCTAAAATCCTTTAACAAAGGAATCAAAACCCCAGCCTTCCTCTAGTGTCGGCTCACACTCCTTCACTTGTGTAGAATCTTCAATCAAGATCCAAACCCACTTCCTTCGGCAAAACACAGTGTTCACAGAATCTTTCAAAAATCAATTTCAAACATCGACAATACAGGAGACCAACCCCAGCAGCAAACCCAGAACCACCCTTACGGATCGCCAACGGCAACCTCTGCGCTTTGCAGGTACCTCTCTCCCTTCCTCTCTAACAGCTCGCCTGTCTTCTCTCTTCGTGCCTTCGGAGTTCGATCAAAATACAAAAATTTCGCCCCTCACTGTCCGTTTCAGCAACAACAGTGTGACAGAAGCCGCAGTGCCTTCGCACCACACAAACGCTGTCGGATCTCACCTCGGAGCTCGTCGGAGGCAAACTTTTTCCCCTCTTTCACGGTTGTCAACCTCTCTCTCCCAGTTGAACTCTGGATTTTCTAGTCTTTCGCTCTAATTGGGATTCTAGGTTTTGTTTAGAGAGAGAACGAAAGGTATACCCAGACATAAAACTTCCCAAACAGTTTTCCTAATGGTATAGGAAACCTAGTTACAGATAACCATGTCGATAAAACATCCTTGCACACCTTGGGTAAAGGGAGAAGACGTGGACAGCAACCGAGTAATACAAAGTCCCTCTCCGATCCAGTTTCAAAAAAAAAAAAATGTCTTGCACAATGGATAAAAGGAGAAAGTGGACGAAGTAACCAGAATTTGCACAACTCTGGTCAAATTCAAAATACACAGAATACATATTTTTGCAAAAAGGCAAGCTCCCCATTCGAACAATTTCAAACAGGTTGAAACTATACCAGAATGTGCACAAACTTCTTTTAATTCATATGAATATAAAATATTGGACGCAATAAGGCAATGTTCAAGTAGAAAGAGGCACCAAATATATATATAAATAAATTAATTAAATAATAATGTGTATATATACACACATATTCAGGTTGCACCTTCTCAAGGATGACTCCTTAAACCAATCAAACTCTTTGTTACAGATTGCAAAAATCTTAAAGTCTCCAAAAAGTCTCCAAAAAGTCTCTTTACCAATAGCTACACAAGCTATCACAAGCTACTATGCGCAACCCCAAATCAATAGGTCTGCTCTAAACCTAATGTAAAGCTGCAAAAGTTAGTAAATTCGCCTCCTCTTTCCTAATGCAACCTCATCTTTAGAAGAGAGCAAATACGGGACAGCAACAAAAAAACACAAGCAAATTCATATCCAATTGCTAACATTCTCCTCTCAACTTCAACAATCCATTCTCTCTAAATGGCTTTCGGAGGAGAGGGACACCGTGATAACACCGTTTGGCGACCAGTGAACAAGGCTCCAAACTAGAGAGATTCAAAACATAGAGCTTCAAGCTCCACTCCTACTCACCACCGCCGCCCAGTGTGTGAGTTCTTTCGAAAGATGCTCTCTATGCCTCCATGGCAATTCCAAGATCTGCTATTTGAATCCCCTTGGATCCACCACCCAATATCTGCTTCTACAGTTGTAGAGGTGCCGGAAGATTTCCGGGGTAAAATAAGAGGATGGTACAAGGCACTAACTATTCCAGAGCTCTACACAATACCACCGTCCCATACTTGGTTTTTGCTAAACCAAGAAGGCAACCTCACTCTTCAGAGATCCACCTGCCAGGCAAATCAGGTATTAATCCCACATTTTGAGAGGATTCGAATCAACATCCTCTCGCGAAGACCGACAGAGAGAGATCTTGATCACCACATCTCTATCATGTCAGCACTATTGGAAAACCCAAATGAAGATCTGGGACTTGACATAGAGAACTTTGCAGATCTTAACATTGGAGAAGAGAATGCTTCCCACACAGTTTAGCCAAACATTCCCTACCACACTCCACTCAACATCCTCTTTTTCAACACTGAGGGCGTCGCTCGCCCTAACTTCTTCCAGCACTACATGCACCTACACTCTTTTGGACGCTTTGATCTTGTCATCATTACAAACACAAAAAATAAAGAAAGTGAAGCCCAGTTTATGAGTAAAATCATGTGTTACTCTAACACCAAGACCATGAACCCACCTCCCAGCGGCATGAAAAGAGTGATGGGCGGAATTTGGTGCCTATGAAATGAAGTTGAAATCTCATGTGATGTAATAGAGATCCCGTGGAATGAGGCTATCGCCCAACAAGCCCATATTTTCGTCCAGCCAGTTCATGCCAGATGAAATTGAAATGTATCTCTCCCTTTAATTCAAAAGAAATCAAACTTTTTTTAACTGCATGAGTTATATTTTCGACATCTTTGTCATACATGTACAGACACTTTCATGAGAATATCTGTACAGGGGGCATTAATGTGGGTATCTATACTATACTTGGCATGTGGCGAGCCCAACGGGGGTCACGTCAACACCACTACACATCCACGTGGCAGATCCCTGAGGCACCACGATGAGTATGTCATCACCATCACGCACCCACGTGGCAAACTCCTGAGGCACCACGATGAGTCGAGATTGTATGCCTAGCCTAAGCGGGGGCATGCACATCACCAAGAATGAAACAAGGCCACATGGAGCTAGCTCACTTAGAGCTCTTCATGGCCCTTCATAACTCAAGAAATGTATTCTTTACCCACTCACCCAACTCCATGACAACATAGCCGGACTCTTGGCTCACCTATGCTCGGCTCACCTATGTTTACTTAGCTACTGAGGTAAGCCCTTGGCTCACCCATGCATTCACTCTCTTGGCTGCCTAGGTCGGGAGCAGGACCTAGGCACTCCCGCTTGGGATCATTGGAGGATTGTGGATTGGGGGCTAAGACCTCGGGATCGTCAAGGTCGTGTAGCTATCTCCCTGTAGTGATAGCTCCCCCTTTGACCTGGTTTAGAGAAAGAGACGTTGACCTTACACTTACATCTGATGCACATATGATACGCCTCTCAAGATATCACACCTACCCCTGCAGTTCCTATGATGCAACCTCCCCGAGGACCTAAATCATAGGACACAGCTAGTAGGGCTGATATCATCCTCCTGTTGAGTTGAGAAGAACTTGCCACCTGTCTTGAGGTTGCTTGGGCTCCAATACTTCTGGAGTCTATATAACGGCATCATAAGTGCAGCCACAAACACACAGCAAGAGCAACAAGAATCACATAACATACATTAAGTGTTCAAGGTCTCTCACTGCCACCTCTACCCTCTCTAAGCTTGCCTTGGTCTTCTACTCCTCCACCTCCGGTGATCTTAAGACATTGAAGTGCCTACCATCTTCCCAGAGGTCAACAACCGATCGCCTCTAATCTCTATCACCCACACTAGCCAATCATGACCTAAACCTATAGGGGCAGGTTCGGGTCGTGACACCTTGATGGCATGACTTGGCCTAGAAAACCAAAAGCACGAGTTTTTACTAATAAGGTGCCAATTTTCAAGGATTAATTCCTTTGCTTCCCAAACTGAGGCTAGATCAATTGGCCAAAATTGTTGCACTTCATTAGAGACTTGTCCCACATCGTTAAATGATTTCAAGTTGCATGTCTCCAAATAATTTAACATGGTTTTACAGTTGGCTCTTAGGTGGTCTATTGTGGACCAACTCTGTCTCATCTGTCCATCACCTCCATATGTGACTAGGCCATATGTGGGGAAATGTTAGAGACTTATTCCACATTGTCTCTTTAAGCCACACAAGTTTAGTCCATACATTCTGGTTTCAATTTTGGTTTTGGGTCAACAACTAGGAGGTCAAATGTTGTCAAGCCTATGTTTCAACTTTCAGCAGAGTAATCTGTGTGTGTGTGTGTGTGTTTTTTTCCAAGCCAATGATTGATATTGTGATATAATAGTTTAGTCATAAATTAATAAGCATAAAATCCATCAAGCTTGAAATTTGTAAAGCATTTTGCACTTCACAACCAGAAATTGCATCCTAAGACTAATCAACCGCGTTTTCTTATAAAAGAACACAAAAGTTTCACAAGGCTAATCCAAACTTAAATTTCCAATAAACATTCATTCAAATCCCAGAATCATTCAAAAACAGAGATATCAAACAGAGCAAAGCACTCACCTTGGAAGTCAACTCGAAATCACCATTCTTCCACAACCCACTTCTCACAAACCGATCACACACACAAATCTTCCTCAAAGTCGCCAATGCAAGACCGATTGCTAAATCAGCCACATCGTCCGTGAGAACATCAGGAGTGTTGGTAACCCTAATTCCTCTCTCCTTGCACTTTGCCAAATCGATCTTATCCAAACCCACACTGTAACTCGACACGATCTCCAAACTCGGAAGCGATTCGATCAACTTGGAATCGGCCCCAATCGCTGTGTCCCCGACCACCGCTCGTATGGAATTGCAATTCTCTCTCAGAAACTCGTCTTTCGATGAAGCCTCCCATAGTCTGAAGAGTTTGAATCGCTTGTCGAGCTCTTCTTCCAGGTACGACGACATTGGACAATTCACGCACCCACGTGGCAAACTCCTGAGGCACCACGATGAGTCGAGATTGTATGCCTAGCCTAAGCGGGGGCATGCACATCACCAAGAATGAAACAAGGCCACATGGAGCTAGCTCACTTAGAGCTCTTCATGGCCCTTCATAACTCAAGAAATGTATTCTTTACCCACTCACCCAACTCCATGACAACATAGCCGGACTCTTGGCTCACCTATGCTCGGCTCACCTATGTTTACTTAGCTACTGAGGTGAGCCCTTGGCTCACCCATGCATTCACCCTCTTGGCTGCCTAGGTCGGGAGCAGCGCAAAGACCGACAGAGAGAGATCTTGATCACCATATCTCTATCATGTCAGCCCCATTGGAAAACCCAAATGAAGATCTGGGACTTAACATAGAGAACTTTGCAAATCTCAACATTGGAGAAGAGAATGC